ATTCAAACAAAACGGGGGTAGCCAGATGAATACTCAAAAAAAATGGTAGACTTAATAAATGAATTATTGGAAGCCATTAAAGGAATCATTTATGGGGCTGGAGATACGGCTCATGGGTTGACAGCACGTACTGCTCTTGCAAGGAGCACCTAGTTCAGTTTCCAACACCCCTATCAGGTAGCTCACAACCCCAAATAACCCCAGATCCAGGGGATCAGATAGCGTCTTCTGGACTCCACAGGCAACTGGACTCCCCTGCCCAACCCTGGCCACATACTTATAATTAAAAATAAATAGAGTCTCTCTTTTAAAAAGGAATCGTTTTATATTATTAAGGGACCAATTCAGGAAGAGTTAATGATCTTAAACTTGTATGTAGCTATCTAATAATATAGCTTAAAAATACATAAGGCAATGTTTAACAACTAAAAGGAAACCAAGACATACCTAGGAGGAGAATTAGAAGATTTGATTCACCTCGATTAGTAACTTACAGAGCAGTTAAGCCAGGAAAAAAAGGATCAAGAAGTTGGGAGAAAATATCAACCACACAATCAGCCACTGGTCACAGGTGACATGCGTTGAAGATGCCTACAAATATGTGTCTTTCAACATGGAAATGCTTAGAAAAGCAGATTATATTCTAGTACAAAGAAAAGTCTTAGGGATCGTGGAAAGATCCAGGCCCTTCCTGAAGTCTGGAGTCCTCTCTTGGTAGAGTCTCTGCTCTGGTTTGATTTCTGCAACTGTGGTTAAACACTCCTACCGAAAGCGACTCAAGAAGCTGTCCCAGTTTGCATTCTGCTGCTGTGACGAAACACCTTAACTAAAAAGCTTGGGGAGAAAAGGGTTTATTGTCAGGAACCTGGCTGGAGGCAGGAGCCGAAGCAGAGACCATGGAGGAACACTGCTCACTGGCTTGCTCTCCTGGCTCGCTCAGCTGCCTTCTTATACAGCCCAGGCCACCTGCCCAGGGATGGCACCGCCCACAGTGGGCTGGGCCCTCCTATATCTATTAACAATGAGGAAAATGCCTCACAGATACACCCTCAGGTCAGTCTAATGGAGGAAATTCCTTAATTTAGGTTCCCTATTTTCAGGAAGGTCCAGGTTTTTGTCAGACAAAAACTAACCAGCAGAGGGAGGGAAGTTTTTTGGGTTTTTTTGTTTTTTCTTCTCACACTTCCAAGGCACAGTCTAATATTAAAGAAAGTCAGGGACTTGAAGTAAAAGCCATGAAGGAACGCTGGTGGGTGGCTGGCTCACAGGCTCACGCTCAGCTAATATACAGCCCAGGACCATCTGCCTGGCCAATGCTGCTGTCCACAATGGGTTTGGCCCCCCTGCATCAATCAATGATGACAATCCCCCACAGACAAGCCCATGAAATGGTCACCACGTTGGAATATGGTATTTGGGGTAACTGACACTCTGATGTGGTGACAGTTTCATCAAGTTTTTATAGTCATAAATCAAACCACTTTTCAAACACATTAGTGCGAACAGGCAGGTAGGTCACAGCACAGGGGAGACGTCTCGGGTGCTAAGGAATGGCATAGAAAGGTTTTGCCTGACAGTCCCAAGGACGTTAGGTCATTCACAGATGCAAGCAATGAATGGGGATTTAGGAGGCTAAAGATAGGGCAAGGAAATTTGACTCAGGAGCTGCCACATTCCAGCTCTCCAGCCCCATGTTCCAACCAGACAATCAGCCTTGTAGAATGTTTAACAACAATGAGATTTATTTTCTGGGAACTTCAGTCCGCAAAGGAAATGGTTAACTGCGAATGGACTAAAAAGCGACTCGTTTAAATGAAGATAACGTTAAGGAAGTGATCAGCTGTTGATCTGTGACTGCCTGTAGCCTGCGGCAGCTTCAGGGACCTTCCTTCTTCCTCCACTTTCAGAACCTGGACCACCTTTTGCTCAGGAAGTCATTCTGGTCTGTAGCAGTTTGTTTAACCTTTTGGCAGTGGATCAGTCAGCTCTGCTCTGGTAAGAAGCCATCACAGACTGGCTGGGGGCTGTGATTACAGACGCTGGAGTCTGGTGGTGTTAAGGCTGTAGAGCAGTGGAGGAAGCCAGGGTAGATCCAGCTCTGGGTGGGGCCCCTCCAGGCCTCGTTAGATAGAGAGATCCTTGGGCGACTCCTTACTGGGATGCTTCTCTCTCCAAATCCCTCCCCTAACCACACCTCCAAATGCCACCCCACTGCGAATGGGGCTTCAGCCTGTGCCTTGTGGGGGACCTGCAGGCAGAGAGTTCACAGAGTGACACTTGTTGGGGTGCCGTCCTCTCGTGGCAGGCCGGTGGGTGACCTCCTCTTAAATCAGGGATGAGCCAAAACACTGACCACTAGGCGTCTCAGAGCCCACAGAGTTGCTGGGCTCCCTTTGTCACTGTCATAATTCTTTAGGAAGTTTCTCCAAGGCTGAAGACTCCTGTGTTCACTGAACCGGCTTGTTAGTCCGTGCGAACCGGTGGCTTCCCGTTGAGTAAGCAGGTCACAATGTTCCAGCTCTCTGCTCTTGTTACAGGAAGCTTAGGGCTCACCTGTGCTTCCCAGTCCCAGCCCTGGACAGACCGTTTCCCCAGGGAGATTGGTGGGGGGGTGTTTGTGCCTCAGAACCAGCACTTGGACACCAGGTGCCGGCTTGAAGAGTGTACCCCTCACAGCTCCACCAACCCCTCTGCAAGGCAGTAATGGGCCTTCAGGAGGCCTAGGCCACGGAGGCTCACCGTAGATGAGCAGGCTTGTGGGTACAGCTCTAACAGATGCCATCTTGGCTATGTCTTGCGTCTCTTCACAGCTGCTCTGTGAACCTCAGGGTGTTGCCGACAGATGCTCCCCAGGTGGCCCCCAGCCTTGTCTTCCACTTCAAGATTTGGAAGAAATCAATGGATTTTCCTCCTGAGCTCCAGCTGGGGGTGCTCTGTGAGTGACAGCAGAAACACCAGGGGAGGAGCCGGTGGCGACTCTGTCCAGAGACCACACCTGCTACTGCTAGTCTGCTGTAGTACCTGTGGAGGCCAGAAGAGGGTGTTGGATCCCCTGGAGCTGTGGTCCGTTATGAGCTGCCATGTGGGTGCTGGGAATCGAACTAGTCTTCTGCAAGAGAAGCCAGTGTTTCTAATCACTGAGCCACCTCCCCAGGACCTTTCACTTCTTTTTAGTTTTTTGTCTTTTTTGAGACAGGGTCTCCCTGTAGCCCCAAGGGACTTGGAACTCACTATGTCGACCAGGCTGACCTTGAACTCACAAAACTCCACCTGCCTCTGCCTCTCAAGTGCTGGGATTAAAGGCGTGCACCACCACGTCTGGTCTTTGAGTTAAAAAAAATTTTAAAGAAACAGTCTTTCCTGCAGGTGATGAGCGGCCCATCGCTTTCGGTGAAAAGTGACGTCTATCTCACAGTTTTGAAAATAATCTTTGTTCCTCTCTTTCTGGCTGTTTTTTGTTGTTATTTGATTTGGTTGGTTTTTTAGATGGAGTCTCACTATATAGTCCTGTCTGACCTGGGACTCTCTGTATAGACCAGGCTGGCCTAGAACTCACAGAAATCTGCCTGCCTGTGCCCCAAGTGCTGGGGTTAAAGATGTGCCCATCTCCCCAGCCTCTCAGACTACTTTGAAGGCCTTTCCATCTGTTTGGTGGTCTGCAGTACAGACACGCAGTTGTTACTTTGACTGAGCACTTGGGAGAAACAGCTTGGGGAGATTAGACTGTGGTTCCTGGTCTGAAGGTGGGGAAGGCAAGCGCACCCGGCAGGCAGAGGGTCGGCCCGCTTGCTGGAATCTGGGCAGACCGAGAGCATTCCCTCCCAGCCGTTTTTCGTTTTGTTGTTTGCTTGTTTTGAGAGCAGAGCTGTAGCCCAGGATGGCCCCGAACTGGCGTGATTCCGAGTCCCCCTTTTCTCTCATTATTGTCCACAGCCCTGTCTGTCTGCCGGGTGTGGCCGGTATTGCCTCAAACTGCTGCCTCCGCTCAGCCTTCCACTGACCGCCATCCATGCTCGGTGCCCACTGCCTGCCACAGTACCTTCCTGTTCCATCTGCGACGGTCCTGATACTGTAGAAGGTGTGATGAGAAATCAGAACAACGCGCCATGTCTCCGCCACGCCTGCACACTACTGAGTGTGTCACACCACCATACCATTGGACACCATCCACCTGCCTTCTTGGGGGACTGAGGCCCACTTGAGCCCTACTTGAGTCCCACAGGATTTTTTGTTTGTTTGTTTTGATTTTTCCTTTTTTTTTTTTTTTTTTTTGAGACAGTGTCTCCCTGTAGCCCCAGCCCGCCTGGAAATCCCTATGTAGACCAGGCTGGTCTTGATCTAGAAGCGATCTGCCTGCCTCTGCCTCCCAACCTCTGGAATTAAAGGCGTGCGCCACCATCCTGGGTGGAATTTCTTTCTTCCCAGACCAGCCAGGCCCTCCCAAGGTAGGAGGGCTCTGCAGTCCACCACCACCCTTTCCTACCTCACATTCTTCAGCTCCTATCCGCATCCCCAGGTTCATGGGGGAGTGCCCCTCTGTGGACAGCAACTCTCTGGACCAATACAGCTGCTGCTGACCTTGACCTATGAACTGTGAACTTTGGTTGACTTCTGCAGGGTGTCAAAGGACATGAAAACCTTTTCCCCCATTTCAGAGATGAGGAGCTGGGGGGAGGAGCAGGTGGGAACCCACTCAATGTCCTACGGGATGCCCAGGAACTGGCAGGGCTCCACCCTCACTGTGGGACCCTGTATATTGCACACCCTGTATATCCCTCCCCCTCTGCACAGACTGACTCTGTGGACCCCGTGTAGGGGTCCCTCTATCTAACACCCCTCACGTTATCATCCTATATGACTGGTCATCAGATGGTCACAGGTTTCTTAGCAAGCCTCCTGAGAAGTTAGCTATGTCCAAGCTCTAGGGCCTGACCACCCAGCAGCCTCTGACAGATGTCCCCAAACCTCCAGGTGACTCCAAGACCAAGCCTGACATGGAGTTGAGCTGGACAGGTGTTTTATTGAAAGTTCACAGATACAAGAGCTTGGAGCAGGGTCACAGCTTGGAGGAGGCCAGGGTTGGGAGTGAGGGAGCTCCTAGTGCTCACAGTCCCCATCCTGGGAGCTCCCATGTCAGCCCTTCTTACTGGGTGTCTGAGGGGCCCAGGAGCCTGGGCAAGGTGCGTGGGGGCAGGGATGGCAGCCGCTGGCAGCAGAGCAGTGTGGGAGGAAGCCCAGGGTCCCAGTGACCGCAGGGCAGGGGCAGGAGGCAGACAGGGTGGCTGGGAGGAACAGCAGCTCTGGTAGGCACTCAGCTTCTGGCCTCTTGGCTGCTGTGCACAGTTCTGGGCTTTGGCAGAAGCCCATTCTGCCCCATGTTCTCAGCATCCTGAGTCTCCATCACCATGAGTCTCCAGGCTTAAGCCTGCCAGGCTCAGTAGTCGCTGAGGGGGTACCGCAGGAAAATGAAGATGAGGATGATGCAGGAGGCTGCCAGCGCAGAGCTGGTGATGTTGAACAGCCTTGCTGTCTTGGCATCTTCCACAGCTCCGTTCAGATCATTGAGGAGCTTCTTGTCCCGAACCTGGAGGCAGGAAGAGGAAGAAGAGAGGTGGAGGTCAGAGGAGAAGGAGGAAGAGGAGGAGGAGGAGGAAGAGGAGGAGGAAGAGGAGGAGGAGGAAGAGGAGGGGGGGAAGAGGAGGAGGAAGAGGAGGAGAAGGAGGAAGAGGAGGAGGAGCAGGAGGTGGAGGAGGAAGAGGAGAAATAAGAGGAGGAAGAGGAGGAGGAGGAGGAAGAGGAGGAGGAACAGGAGGCAGAGGAGGAAGAGGAGCAGGAGGAGGAGGGGAGGAGGGCAGCAGAAGAGGCACAAAGACTAGCAGTGAAGGGGGACAGAGTCCAACTGAGGAGGGAGACAGAGATTGAGGAGGGGAGGCTGGAGATCTTTAAGGAGTAGCCACAGGGCAACTGGCAGGTGTGAGGAGCAGGTGTGAGCGTCAAATGACCTCTGTGCCCGTGTCCTGGAAGTATGTGCCCTTGTTTGGGGAGGCAGTCACAGCATCAGCTCCCAAGGTTTATAAAGAGTGTTCAGCCAGAGATGGCAAGGACAGCTGTGACCCTGTGAAGGGTGCCTAGAAATTTCCGTTTTGTTTTGGACAACTTCTCATTAAGTCTGAAGGGATCTTTTTGATATTTTATTTGTTATTTTTATTTTACATGTATGAGTGTATTGCCTGCATGTGTGTAAGTGTGCCCATGTTATGTAATGCCCACAGAGGCTGGAAGAGGGCATTGGATCCCCTGGAACTGGAGTTAGGATGGTTGTTAGCCACCACGTGGGTGCTGGGAATCGAACCTGGGTCCTCTGCAAGAGCAGCCAGCGCTCTTAACCGCTGAGCTGTCTCTCCAACCCCCCACTTGTTTTTCAACTGTAATATAAAATCCTATTTCCACAGATGCATGTGTGTTGACACACGACTCTCCAGCCCACGGGTTCTATATCTAGCTAAACTATCCCATTGTGATTATTGGCCGGGTAGCGACAAATAGTCTACGTCCTCTTCTCAACCCTTCCTCCAGGTTACAGACAAGGAGTGACAGGTACTGCCAGAGACCCACTGGGCCGAAGTTCTGCCTCTGCAGGTGCCTGCTAGTGATCTGGGGCAGTTAACAAGCCTGTTGTTGCTTGGAGCGCTCGCCTGTGGTGTGGACACAGTAGAGTACCTGCCTCACAGAGGTGGGAAGGGCCTCATGGTCAGCTTCACAGTTCTGACACAGCATCTGGCCCGAGGCTCTTTTGAGGAAGGTAAAGATGATTCTAGAACAAGGCTAACTAGCAGAAAAGACAAAAAGGAGCCTCATCCTACCCTTGATCTTTTTTTTTTTTAAAAAAAGGGGGGGATATTTAGGGGGCTGGGGAAATGGCTCAGTGGTTAAGAGCGCTGGTTGCTCTCCCAGTGGACCCAGGTTTGGTTCCCAGCGCTCATGTGGCAACTAACAACCATCCATAATTCCAATTCCAGGGAATCCAACGCCCTCTTCTGACCCCCCTTGGACATTACACGACATGGGTGCACTTACATACCTGTAGGCAATATACTCATACACATAAAATAATAAAAGATTTTAAAAATTAAAAAAATAGATATTTATTCTTTCACAATTCTGGAGGCCAGAGGGTGGTCATGGATACAGGAATGAATGTCAGGTGAGTAGGGTGGATGGGAAGCTGAACTTGCAAATATATGCTAAGTAGCTAGGGCAGCTGGGCAGCTGGGCAGCTGGTGTGTTGATGTGTGTTGGATGTATGGGAAAAGCAGGTAGGTGAATCTGACTGTGGATGAATGGGGCAGGTACACAGAGGAACAAATGGACAGGACAGGAGGCTAGAGGAAGACTTGGGTGGATGCTTGTTATATGTGACAGGTGGACCACTGAGCACATGTGTATATGAACGTGCTGGACGTGTGGGGCAGAAGGACAGATGGAGCTATGAAGGTATGTCAGATGGTTGGACAGGTACATGGCTGTCCTAGTTTTTTTCTCCGTTGCTATAACAAAATTCTCTGACCACTACCAAATTGGGGAGGAAAGGGTTTATTTATCTTACATCTCCCAGGTCACAGTTCATCAGGGAGCCCAAGGTAGGAACTCAGGTCAGGAACCTGGAGGCAGGAGCTGGAACACAGGCCATGGAGGAACGCTGCTTACTGACTTGCTCCCTTGGCCCCTGCTCAGTCTGCTTTCTTATGCAACACAGGCCCACCTGCCCAGGGGTGGCACCACCCACAGTGGGCTGGGCCCTCCCACATAACTCATCAAGAAGATGCCCCTCAGACATGGCCACAGGCCAGTCCAATGGAAGTAATTCTCCAATTGAGGCTCCATCAACCCAGGTGTGTCAAGGTGGCACTAAAGCTATCCAGTACAATGGGGTGTGATAAAGTATTTATGCCATTGGAATGGATACCTAGGCACATGTTTTGGATGGGTGGGGAGAGTGGATACACAGATGTGTGACTGCATGTGGGATGGGTGAGGGAAAGGAGGTGGTTTAAAGAATATACCGTAATGGCATAGCTGCAATGTGGGCACCCACTCTTTTGTAACTAAACCCCTATCCTATGCTCTGTTAAATAAATAACAAATAAAATATTAAAAAATAATATACTATAGACTGATGAATGGGAGATGGGGATGGATTCATAATCAGCCCAATCAATCAATCAATCAATCAATCAATCAATCAATCGTTATTCAGCACCTGCTCTGGCATCCTGGGTGTTTAACAGCAGCTGTGATTTCCATTCCATGTCCTGGTATACAACAAGGAGCACAGAACCCCTCTTTCCTCATGGCTTTCAGGCCAGGAAAGAATTCACAAAATGCACAAATTGCAGCCTAAGCAAGTCAGAGCTCAATCTGTGGGTTAAGTGGGCTGCAAAGAAATCCAAAGATGCCAAGAGACTGCTGAGTCCAGGGAGAGCCAGTCACAGCAGGTGACCCAGAAAGATCTGACTGAGGGGATGTTTGCCACCAGATCAGTGTGACCAACTTGGTCCCACATGAACATGGAGACACATCAGTGGGGACGCAGCTGACTCTGGAGGAACAGGAACAAGGAATGGAATGTGAGTGAGATCGTGAACGTGGTGGGCATGAAGTGCTATGCTCTGGGTATCTGTGTTCCCCCAACTTACACACAGATGTTCTGGCCCCATGATGGCAGGGGCCTTCAAGGGTGATTTGGGAGGCAGACCTCATGGATAGCTTATAAAAGAGCTCCGTGGAGACCCTTGCCTGGTCCACCAACCTGAGCCTCACAGAGACACAAACAGCGTGAAGCCCAGAACAGGGCAGATCTGACCAGACCCCAACAGAGCTGCAGTGGCAGAGCTGTGGGGAAGGCTTGCATTTGGGTAACTCATTACACACAGACCACGGCAGATGACTTGGACTGCGGGCAGTGAACAGAAGGCTCAGAGAGACACATGATGAAGGAAAGGAGAAGTGGTATGGTGGGTGGCCAGTGGGATGGCCAGGAGGGTGGATACAATGGGAGAACATGGACAAGTGGTTTAGACTGCATGATGAAACAGGTGGGTGGGGTGGAATGGACAGGGCAGAAAGGAACAGGCTGAATGGATGGACAAACGGACTAACTGAGATGGAAAGGGAATACAGAAGTAGATAGAGAAGGGCAGAGGCTGTGGCTCAGTTGGTAGAGAGCTTGTGGAGCTGCCTGAAGCCCTGGGCTCCCTCCTCACCACAGCATAAACTGGGTGCGACGGCACGTGCCAGTAATTCCTGCACTTGGGAGGTGGAGGCAGGAGGATCAGGATTTCAAGATCAGCCTTAACTACATAGTGGGTTTGAGGCCAGTCTGGAGGTGGGGGGGAGCAAGAGTGAGAGTGAGAGGGAGGGAGGGAGAGAGAGAGATGAGTGAATGCTCGAAGGACTAGGAACATCAGGTCTGCAGCTGGGCATGTAGGATGGTCAAGTACACTTGCAACCACATACATATCAATAAATGATTGGATGGGGCAGATGGACAGGGCAGAAGCTGGGAGGGGTAAAGGGGAAGGAAGAAGAAATAGAAGAGAAGATGGCTGCAGGGACACAGCTGGGGAAAGGATGGATGTTTGAGGTCAGTGAATTCATGGATGGATGGATGGATGGGTAGATGGGTGGATGGATGGGTGAATGGGTGGATGATGGATGGATGGGTGGGTGAATGATAGATGGATGGGTAGATGGGTGGATGGATGGGTGAGTGGATGGATGATGGATGGATGGTGGATGATGGATGGATGGATGGTGGATGATGGATGGGTAGATGGTGGATGATGGATGGATGGGTGGGTGAATGATTGATGGATGGATGATGAGTAGATGATGGATGAATGGATGGATAGGTGGATGGATGGGTGAGTGGATGGATGATGGATGGATGGTGGATGATGGATGGATGGATGGGTGGATGATGGATGGATGGGTAGATGGTGGATGATGGATGGATGGATGGGTGGATGATGGTGGATGGGTAGATGGATGGGTGAGTGGATGGATGAGTAGATGGCTAGATGGGTAGATGAATGGATTGGTGAATGATGGATGAGAGGATGGATGATGGATGGATGATGGGTGGCTGATGGATGAGTGGATGGATGGGTGGGTGGGTGGATGGATGGGTGGATGGATGGGTAGGCGAATGGATGGGTGAATGGATGGATGAATAGGTGAATGGATGGATGGATGGGTGAATGGATTGATGGATGATGGATGGGTGGATGGTGGATGGATAGATGGGTAGATGGATGGATGGGTGGATAATGGATGGATGTGTGGATGGATGGATAGGTGGCTGGATGGATGGATGAATGAATGATAGATGAATGGATGATCGGTGGATGGTGGATGAATGGATGGGTGGGTAGATGGATGTATGAATGTGTTGGTGGATGGATGGATGATGGCTAGATGGATGATGGATGATGGATGGATGATGGATAGAGGATAGATGAATGGATGGATCAGTGGGTGGATGGATGGATGATGGATGGATGGATGAATGAGTATATGGGTGGGTGAGTGGAAGGGTGGATGGATGGATGGATGGAGGGATGGATGGATGTTGGGGTAAAATTCTACATAAGGCGGGTTAGTGAGCAGAGGTATGCAGGTCAGAATGAGGAAAGGATGGAATAATAGTGGGAAAATGAAACGGCTCTTAGGGTGTGCTCTGACAGCACCACACAGAGCAACATCTCTCAACCACACTTTGAAGAATGGACACCAGGAAGAGTGAGGTATGGAGAGTTATTGATGTAAGGTCCCACAGCAAGTACATGGTTTGTTCTGAACTGGAGACACCCTGAACCTGTGGGTGTGCAACTGTGGACAGAGGGTAAAGGATGGGCACAGGTGGGGAAGAGAGAGAGGAAAATGGATGAATAGGTCATAGGTGGCTGGTGGCTGGATGGTCCCTGAAACAGGAAAGTCAGAATGGAGGAAAGATAGATCATGAAAGGATGGGCATAGCATCAGAGGACATATGGGTTTGTGGGTGGACAGGAGGCCAGATGCATGACATGGTATGTTGGTGGACAGCATTCAGAGACTGGTGGAAGAAGGAGGGAAGGCAGGGGGAGGCTGGGAGGGAGGGAAGGC